GAGGAGGAGGAGGAGGAGGAGGAGGAGGAGGAGGAGGAGGAGGAGGAGGAGGAAGATTGTGGGGTCCTGGATGCTCTCTGAGCTTGGTTGTTTTCTTGCAGATGTTTCATGATCCAACTAGGGAACATCATCAGTGCTAGAAGGAAGTGAGGTTTGCAGGGAGGAGGAGGAGGAGGAAGAGGAAGATGAAGAGGACGAGGACAACGATGACTGTGGGGTCCTTGGTTCTCTCTGAGCTTGGTGGTTTTCTTGCAGACGTTTCATGACCCAACTAGGTAACATCATCAGTTCTAGAAGGGAGTGGGGTTTGGGAGGAGGAGGAGGAGGAGGAGGAGGAGGGGGAGGAGGGGGAGGAGGAGGAAGAGGAAGAGGAGGAGGAGGAAGAGGAGGACGACTGTGGGGTCCTTGGTGCTCTCTGAGCTTGGTGGTTTTCTTGCAGACGTTTCATCACCCAACTAGGGAACATCATCAGTTCTAGAAGGGAGTGGGGTTTGGGAGGAGGAGGAGGAGGAGGAGGAACAACTGTCAGGTCCTTCATGCTCTCTGGGCTTAGCAAGCCACTAGAACATAAACTGAGAGCAAACCCCACTCCCTCCTAGCACTGATGATGTCACCCAGTTTGGTAATATAACGTCTGCAAGAAAACAACCAAGGCCAGACAGCGGCAAGGACCCCCACAGTCAGGAAAGTGCATTTGTCAAACGTTGGCATAATTTATTATAGAAAACAAAATTACACCCCCTTTTCTTCTCCCAAAAACTCAAATTAATGCAGTTCACCAACACAAAATAACAACCAAAAACAGGGGGAAAAAACCCCACCAGGGACAAAATAATCAACGATCCATCTTTAAATTACCATAACCGGAACCCATGAGGCAGAGCACAAGAGCTAAAAAAGACACACACTGGATGAGAATAATGTTCACCTGCTGGCAGAAACAGAGGACAATTCCCACGGCAGCCCAATAAATTTGGACGATAATCTTTAACAAAAAGCACACCTTGCTTCCGTGGGGGTGGTTGAAAAGACGAAAGCGTGCTGAAGTCCCCTATCCTGTAAATCAGGGGTCTCCAACCTGTGGGCCGCACGGGCTGGTAGTGAGCTGTGGCCTCCTGGCCACCAGGCCGCGTGTGCGCACACCCACTCACTTGCGCTAACACCACAGCCACAGGACACAATAACGGGCTGCCGCTGCGCCTCGGGACGCAAAAACGGGACGACGACGCACCTCGGGGCACAAAAACAGGGCACCGCTGTTCCACAGGGCGCAAAAATGGACGCCACAGCACCGCGGGGTTCAGAAACGGGCCACTGCTGCAGGGCACAAAAATGGGGCGCCACCACGCCACTGGGCGCAGAAACGGGCCACCGCCACGCTGCGAGACACAAAAACGGCTGCTGTAGCGCCACAGTGCGCAGAAACAAGGGGCTGCGCCACGCAAGAACGGGGCAGGGCTATCGGGTATCACGTCGTAGGTACCAGCCCCGCCCCATTTGCGGCATGTGCATGCTTGCGGCCCTGTGCGCACGCACACGCATGTAAAATGCTTTCCCCTCCCTTTTTCTCCGGTCCGCCAACCGACAAAGATTGGTGACCTCTGCTGTAAATATTTGGTAATGACGTTATAAAAATCTGATAATTAAAGGGACATATAAGTCGGGAGGGAGAGGGGCACAATGGCTCAGTGGTTAAAGATGCCGAGCTCGTCAGCTAGAAAGCTGACAGCCCGGGTTCGAGAGCCGAGCGCTGCATGATGGGATGAGCTCCCGTTCCTTGCTCCAGCTCCTGCTCGCCGTTCGAAAGTATGCAAATACAAGTAGATAAATAGGTACCACTTTGGTGGGAAGGGAACAGCGTTCTATGGGCCTTTGGCGTATAGCCATGCTGGCCATTTCTCGTACAATTTCTGAGAAAGTCCCATGACTGTAGTGCAGGGGTCCCCAACCTTGGCCGCTTTAAGACCTGTGGACTTCAACTCCCAGAATTCCCCAGCCAGCCATGCTGGCTGGGGAATTCTGGGAGTTGAAGTCCACAGGTCTTAAAGTAGCCACGGTTGGGGACCCCTGCTGTAGTGAACCACACAGCGACAGCAAGAGCACTTAGACTTACTCTATGTACCGCTTCACGGTGCTTTTACAGCCCTCTCTAAGCAGTTACATGGGGTCAGCCTATTGCCCCCAACAATCTGGGTCCTCATTTCACCGACCTCGGAAGGACAGAAGCCTGAATCGATCCAACAGTCAGGATCGAGCTCCTGGCAGTGGGCAGAGTTAGCCTGCAATACTGCACTTTGACCACTGCGCCGCCACGCCTCAAATGTCCCTGGATCACCAGGAATTCTTTTCCTTGTCTAGCTTGGATGAGGAAAAAAAATCTTCTCAAAGCTGGTAGAAGTTCACCCCGCCACCGCTAAGTTATACAGAAGTTTATTTCTAGCGTAGGGACCCTGCTGGGTTTAATCTGCAGAAATGTACATTTCCTTCCCCGCTTAAAATCTGCTTTTTACTCACGCCAAGACCATCTGAGAGTCCGTGTGATTGAACATGTAGCCACCGATCACCCACATGACCTCGTCTTGGACCACGGCTTTGTGAGAGGCGCGCGGGAGTTTGGGGACGTAGAATTCATCCCGGGTCCAAAAGGAGCGATTCGATGGAACAGGAACCGAGCAGTCAACACCTACGAGGGGCAAAATACAACGTCCGTTACACCCCTCGGCTATCTTAATCTAGCACTGCACAGGTAGTCCTCAGCTTACGAGCACAAACTGAGCCCAAAATGTATGTTGCTAAGCGAGACATTTGTTAAGGGAGTTTCGGCCCATTTTACGAGCTTTCTGGCCACGGAGCTCAATTGTGGATAACTTTCACGCAAAAGAGCTAAACAGAGGTAGGATTTCCAGGCCTCTAGCAAAACGAGCTTACAAAAAAGTATTCAATCAGTCTGAAAAAGTGCTGCCACGTTCCTGATTTTTCGCTGCCCTAGACCAGAGGCAAGCAACCTTGGCCCTTTTATGACTGGTGGACTTCAACTCCCAGAATTCCTGAGCCAGCCATGCTGAGGGGAAAGGGAGAGTTTCCAAGCTGAGCCATGCTGGCTCAGGAATTCTGGGAGTTGAAGTCCACGAGTCATAGAAGAGCCAAGGTTGCCTACCCCTGCCCTAGACCAACATGGATCTCCTCCTACAATGTCGGTGATGAAGTATAAATACCGTGTTTTCCTGAAAATATCTTTTTTTCCCTCCAAAAGAAGCACCAGGTCTTATTTCCGGGGTAGGCCTTACCTCACCTCCGGCATCGACAGCCCCACCCAGCCAGTCCACTTCTTCTGGGGCCAAAGTTCTGTAGCTGCATTCGGGCCTGCATTTTGCAGTCAGGCCTTTCCAGAAGGCCTAAGCAGCCGAGTACCGAGTTATGGATTCAATCCATAGCTCGGTGCTCGGCTGCAGAGATCTTGCAGAACCGAACTATGGATTGATGCAGAAGAGGCCTCAGAAGAGGTGGGCCGGCAAAGAGAGGCCTGGCTGCAAGGGAAGCGGGTGCAGGGCGCATGGGGCAGATCCACCACCCCCCAGCCCCAGCCCAGCTTGATTTTCAGATGTGTGCCTCACCCCAAAACTAGGACTTATTTTGGGGGTAGGGCTTATATTAGGCCCACCCCCAAAAATCAAGTTAGGGCTTATTGTTGTCTCTTTTATGACTGGTGGACTTCAACTCCCAGAATTCCTGAGGCAGCCATGCTGAGGGGAAAGGGAGAGGTTTCCAAGCTGAGCCATGCCGGCTGAGGAATTCTGGGAGTTGAAGTCCACGAGTCAGAAAGCGGCCTAGGCCTAGGCCAGAGGTAGGCAACCTTGGCTCTTTTATGACTGGTGGACTTCAACTCCCAGAATTCCTGAGCCAGCATGGGGGAACT